TTCTTTAAATTCAGTGAATTCTTTTATCATATTCATCATTGTTCTTTTGAGTTCCATGTCCTGCATTGTCTCTAGGGGATTCTCATTGTGCTCCTCTAGAGGATTACTGGTATTTTGTGGGGATATGTTATTTTGGTTTTTCATGTTATTATTTTTCTCTGTGATTTTGACATGTGAATTTCTTTTGTAGTTTCTGATTCTTGTGTGAGACTCAGGCCTTCAAGTTTAGGTGTGCTTCTTTTTGTGAACTTTATGTGTCTTTGTGGTTTACTTTTTGGGCATAAAGGCTGGTTTGTCTAAGCTTCCAGTTCTCTCTTTTGATTTTATATTGGAGTGGATGGATTGCTTTTGTCTTCGGGAGTTCCCACAGAGGCCCAATTCAGATGAGGGTCAAATGTTTTCAGGCCTTCTCCTAAGGTCTGAATCCCTCCAGGAACGATTTTGGCCTCGGGAATTTGGGGGTTGGACTGGCCTTGGAGCCTAACCTAGGAAAGATGCTGGTCTAGGGCAGCTGGTGGCTATGCCACCCAGAGATGCAAAGGCAGATGGGGCGCGAAGAGGCCCCAAGGACTTCTGGGGACTGCCCTGATGAGCTGTGTTGGTCTGGATGCAAAGGATCAGGAAGAGGAAAGGTCAGCCCCTGGGTCCCAGAAAGAAGCAGGTGGGTGGTGCAGGCCCAGGGAAGCAGAGGGACATGAGCACGGGGCCAGGCCCAGAAGCAGTGCTCCTGGGGCCCAGAGAAGGCACTATGTTGGTCTGGATGAAAAGGATCAGGAAGGAGTATTGGTTCCCCAGGTGTCTGGGGCCCCAAGACAAGGAATGGGGCAGGACCCAAACTAGGAGAGACTGGCAGGGAGAGATGGGAGGGTGAATGAGGCTGGGGGGAGTCAAGGCGCAGAGGGCGTGATGGACTTACCCCGGAGAGAGGCTTGTGGGTCAGATTCAAGTATGTTTATCTTAAGTGTCCTCTGAGACCTTTTCCTGAGGCAGAGTGCCCCCCCATCTCTGTCATCTGGTCACCTGGTGTATGTGTCAGGGACTAACAGGCAGAATCTGAAGGGCTTCACCTTGGCTCCATCCCTGCTGTTAAAGAGTCCTATTCACATTATTCTCTGATGATCTTCCCACTATCCGTTCATCCACCCATTCCATCTGGGTCCTACCCATTTCATCTCTACAGCTGTACTCAACTCTGCAGCTCTGCTCTTGCCCTAGTTAGCTTTCTATTGCTGTGATAAACTGGGAGGAAAGGGTTTATTCCATCTTACACTTTCAAGTGATAGTCCAGTCCATCTTTCAGGTAAATGTGGCAGGAACTCAGGACAGAAACCTAGAGACGAGCTAAAGCACAGACCACTGAGGGAATGCTGCTTACTGGCTTGTTCCTCTGACCTGTGTTCAGCCTGCTTTCTTACATGACCCAGGGCCACCTGCCCAGCGTTGGCACCACCCACAGTGGTCTAGGCCCTCCAGCATCACTTAACAATCAAGAAAATGCCTCACAGATGTGCCCACAGTGCAATCTGATAGATGAAATTCCTCAATTGAGTCTCCCTCTCACAAAGTGTGTCAAGTTGACAAGTGACACCAACTATGACTTTTCACCCCTTATCAACCTTGACACATAAACACATAAACCTCAACCTTTCCTTTCTTTGTGTATCCCCAAGGTCTCACATTAATATCACAGCATAAAACACAAAACTTTAAAGTCCCACCTTCCTTAAAAATTCCAATGCTCTCAAAAAGACCAAAAAAAAAAAAAAAAAAAAAAAAAAAGTTCAGTGTGTCTTTAAAGTAATTTGAATTCTCTTAACCATGGGTCCAATCTTCTGTACACCAAAGAACTTGGGCAGCTCTACTTCTCTGGCTCTGCCAACCACAGCACACACAGCTTATCTTGTAGGTTCCTGCTGGCTCCACTTCACACCTGCTACTGCCCTTGGTGGACCTCCCACAGTGCTGCCATCTCCTATATGCTGGGGTCTCCGCCATAACTGAGGCTTCACCTTCATTGATGCCCCCCTGCCTTCTCTACAGGGATTTCATCCCTGCCAAATGGTGCCAAGCCTCAGCTGCTCTCCATGATCCCTCATATTTTCAAAATCAGTACCATGTGGAAGATTCTTACATATTACCAAGTCCATCTTTTAGCTTGAGATGTAGCCTTGGCCACTGTGGATCACAGCTTCTGTGTGCTGACCCTGAAAAAATATTCCCCAGGAGATTTCACCTCAATGACGCTGGTCTCTTCTTAATCACAGCTAATCTCTCAGCCCCAGCGGACCAGCCTCCATCACCCGACTATAGCAAAGGTTTCACTTTAGTGGTGCTTGTTTCTTGTCAATCACAGCTGATTCTTCAGTCCCAGCTAACAAGAAACCACAAATATCACAATATCAAAATATCACACAAATGGCCCAGATAGAGTCTTTGAGGGACTCTCAAACTTCCCTTTGAAATGCCACAAGTCATGCCTTCATTATTTACATCTCTGACTGTACTTTTTTTTTTTTTTTTTTTTTTTTTTTTTTTTGTGAGTGTATTGCCTGCATGTATCTAAATGCACACATATGTGATGCCGTAGACCAGGGCGGCCTCGAACTCACAGAGATCTGCCTGCCTCTGCCTCCCGAGTGCTGGGATTACAGGCGTGTACCACCATGCCTGGCTTCTCTGACTGTTCTTATCTTCCAAGTTCCCACAGAATAGCTCACTAAACTCCAACCACTCAACAACTTTTTCAAGCCAAAGTTCCAAATGTTTCCACAGTCCTCCCCAGACATGGTCAGGTCCTTCGCAGCAATACCCCCATGACCCTGGTACTAATTCCTGTACTGATTAGCTTTCTATTATTGTGATAAAATACTCTGACTAAAAGGAACTTGGGGAGGAAAAGGTTTATTGCATCTTACACTTTCGAGTGATGGTCCAGGCCATGTTCTGGGGAAGTCAGGGAAGAACTCAGACAGGAACCTGGAGGCAGGAGCTGAAGTACAGACCACTGAGGGAGCACTGCTTACTGGCTTGTTCCTCTTGCCTGTGCTCAGCTTGCTTTCTTATACAACTAGGACCACCTGCCCAGGACCACCACTGTGGACAGTGCCACAGTGGTCTAGCCCCCTCCCCCCCCACCACTGTACAGTCAAGAAAATGTCTTGTGGATATGCCCACCAGACAATCTGATAGAGGAAATTCCTCCTTAATTGAGGTTCCCTCTCCCCAGGTGTGTCAAGTTGATGGCCAAAGCCAGCCGTAACAGCTCTCAAGCCATGACCTACAGTGGCTTGACTCCCAGCTGCCACTTCTCCAGCTTCTCCAGCTCAGTTCCTTGGGCTCATTATCCTATCAATGCAAGACTCTGCATTCCACCATTTTCCCAGCTTTGCCTTCTCAAGCCTCTTTGAAACTCTTTGACGGTCTTTGCCTCTTTACTCCTTTGCAGTCACCCTAGAGTGAATGGTGACTTCCCCAAAGATGCACAAAATGGAAAGAGCGAATTCTTGCCAATTTTCATACAGTATAATTGATATTTAGAGCTCCTTCCCTATCCACACCTCCCCTTACTGCCCATTGCCCAATTTAATGTACTCTATTGTAATTGTTTTTAAATTTTTGTTTGTTTGTTGTTGTTTATTAAGAGTAAATGGGGCTCAGTGGGTGAACATATGTGCAAACATGAGGACTTGAGTTTAGATCCCCAGCACCCACATGAAAAGCTGGGGATGGTAGCACATGCTTGCAATCCCAGCACTGGGAGGCCAAAACATGAGGACCCAGGGGCTCACTGGCCAGGCAGTATAACCAGTCAGTGACCTCCAGGTTCATTCTCAAAAAATAAGGTGGTGGTACTAGAGAGATGGCTCAGCGGTTAAGAGTACTGGCTGCACTTTCAGAGGACGCAGGTTCAAGTCCCAGCACCCACATAGCAGCTAACAGCCATCCTAACTGCAGTTCCAGGGGATCTGACACCCTTTTCTGACATCCACAGGCATTGCACAACACGTGCACTTACATTTATGCAGGCAATACACTTACATAAAATAAAAAATTAAAGGCCAGGCGTGGTGGCGCACGCTTTTAGTCCCAGCACTCAGGAGGCAGAGGCAGGTGGATCTCTGTGAGATCAAGGCCAGCCTGGTCTACATAGTGAGTTCCAGGCCAGCTGGGGCTACAAGGAAATGCTGTCTCAAAAAGAAATTAGGTGGAAAGGTATAAAGAGAAACATTTACTTCTGTATGTGCAACCTCACACGTCACAGGTGTACACACAAACACAAAGGTAGTGAACAAATTAGCCCCAATTGTTAGATATAAAAATACAAAACTTCATTGTATCTGTGTTTTTTGCTTAGGAACAGATGTCGTGATTGTGAAAAACGGAAGAAGAATATGTGGCACTGGAGGCTGTTTAGCCAGCGCACCCTTACATCAGAACAAAAGCTACTTTGAGTTCAAAATCCAGTCTACAGGTTAGTATAATTGTACTTAACTGTTGAAAGTCATGGTTGTTCTGAATAGTAAGACTATAGTCTTACTATAGTAAGATTCAGGAGATAATAATTTTTTTTAAAAGATCTGAAAATTTATTTAAAAGGCCCGAGTCTTTCACTCATCTGTGGTCCAGGTTAAATTAGTCAGTTTACTAAATTAGGCTCTGTTTTCTCTTCTGTGAAATAGGATTTATAGGAGTTGTACTTTGTGCCTCATAGGAACTCTGTTTGACAGTGTTTTAAAAACAGGACACTGAAGCATCATTTACAGGTCCTAGGGCTTCCATTTTATTTTGTCAGGCATATAAAATATGTGGATTCTTAATATTTCATCTTTAGGGCAAGCTTTTGTCTTAATACTCATCAAGATGCCCCCATTCTTTGTCCTCTGAATTTGGAATTCTGGAAGAAGTCTAAAGTGTATACTTCTTATGCTAGTTAGACTTCTCATTGCTGTAACGAAATACCTGAGAAAACAGCTTAAACTGCTTTTGGCTCATCATTTCTGATGTCTCAGTTCATGGTCACTGGCTCTATTGTTTCTTAGCAAAATGAGGCAGAAAGTCATGGCAGAAGGGTGTGGTGTTGCAAAGTTACTCATGAGAGTCAGAAGGCAGAGGTGATGACAGGAAGAGGCAGGGGACAAGATACTTTCATCAAAGGCATGGCCCCAGTGACCTCCTTCCTCTCAAATGCTTCCTCTCAAATGGGACCCACCTCCTTCATTACCACTGTATAATAATACCCTTGTATTTTTCAAGGTTCTCTAAAGAAACAGACTGATGAAATATATAGGAATTTATTAGATTAGTTTACAGGATAGAGTCAGAATAGTCCAACAATGACTGCACAACACTGGAGAGGCTGAGAATCCCATAGTTGCTCAGTCCACAGGGCTGGATGTCACAGCAGTCCCAATCTGGTGCTGAAGGCCTGAAGAATTCCTGGAAATCTGCTAGTCTTCAGTTTATGCTGCAATCCGAAGAAGATGGTTCTACTATCAGCGGAGGAAGGCCAGAGCAACAAGATGAGCTTGCCAGTAAGAGAGAAGACAAGTAGGCAAAAAGCAAAAGCTCCCTTCTGCCATGGCCTTTTGTATGGGCTGCCATCAGAAGGTAATGCCCACTTTTAGGGTGGGTCCTCCAGCTTCAAATGATCCAATCAAGAACTTCTCTCTCATTTCACCTAATCCCAGATCCAGTCAAGTTGACAATAAAGTTTAGCCATCACAGCCCTCATACTGTGCACCCACAAAAGGATTAATCCATTGATAGAAGCAGAGTCCTCACTACCCAATCACCACTCCCTGATTGACTCCGTAAGCTGAGATCCTCATGGGCCTTTGGGAGGGACACTGCATATCCAAACCATACTTTTTAAAAATTGTGTGGAGTTTCTTGAATTTTATGGCATGTCTGTGTGTTTATTAGTTAGTTAACTTGTACGGTATTATACAAGGGGAGTTTTTTTTAATTAAAAGCTGTATTATAAAGAAATCTCTAGTGAAATCCTTCTTGAGCCATGAGTAATGTAAATACAGAATAAAAAACTGGAGTGAGCAAATGAATCTTCCACAAGCAATACAAAAGTTTTCTCTGGGGTTTGCTTTCTGTGTTGTTTTAAAAATTGATTTTCCTATGTGAATGGAATGGAACAAAGCCAAGTTTTATTGCTGTACTCCCTTAAATGCACTTGTTTCTTAAAAGAAGCAAATAATTTTTGAACCTTAACTCTAATAAAAATTGTATTGTGGATTTTTCTATGTAGGACACTGTTCCCAGTGATATCCCCGGAGTAGATAAAGTATTGGAGTTTGTAACATTAATCCTTTGTTGAAATCGGAGGTAACTGTTACAGTTCTTTAGAAGTGAGGAGACTGCAGAACCCTTTCTGGAAATGTATGAAATTACTATTGTCACCTGCTATCACTCTTACAGTTGCTCCCCTTGGGGAAATAAATTATATGGCCAAATTATTTTGAAGGTCAAGACAGTGAAATCCAGACATGATGCAACTTTGTGATGGAGTCACTCAATCCAGAAACATTGTTAATACCATGGCATTAAAATTTCTTCATGTGTAAAATTTCTCCTGATTTTAATAAAAACTAGAAAGGAAGTGGTTTGAGGAAAAAGTCCAGGGCTCTAAATATTTTTTTAGCTGGTCAAGGGAGTGCCTGCGTAGGGGGAGGGGGACTTTACCCTGGTGGTGGAGTGCTTACCTAGCATATGTGAGGTACTGGGTTTCAGTCTCCAGCATTGGGTGAGAAAATGATTTTATATCTTATTAGTTTTCAACTTTTCATATTATTGTTCATTACATACATTATTTATTACTCATGACTATAACTAAAGATAGTAATCTCCCACTCTGAAATAGAGAGTGAAAAAAAAACTCTAGAAGAGAGGAAGTTGGACATGAAGCCACACCCCTAGCTGAAAAGCTATTGATAATTGATAGCTGCTGGGAGAGGGAGTCAATTTTCTTTAAGGGTGTGATCCCTAGTAGGTCAGCCATGCTCCAGGGGCTGACCCCACATCCCAGAGTATTTGGATAACACAAATTGAACTCCATGGACTTAAAAAAAGAGAGAACACAAAGGAGGGGGATGGGAAGGTGTGTGTAGACCAGAGAGAGGACATGAGGAGGAGATGAATGTGATCAAAACACATTGTAGGAAATCTAAAAAATAATCAGGGAAATATTATTTTTTAAAAATTCATGCCACTTAATTGTGTGTTCCTGGAAATTGAACCCAAGGCCTTGAGCATGCTAGGCAAGTGCTTTACCACTGAACTGTGCTTCCAACCCTATGGTGCTTTCAAAAATCTTAAGAGAAATAATGATAAAGTACTAGCATTTTTTGGAATACTTAGTGTGTGTACTTTACATTCTAATGTTTCGAGGGGGTTGAAATATTTTTATTTTTATGTGTATGAATGTATTATTGCCTGCATATGTGTAAGTGCAGCTGTGTCATGTAGTGCCAGTGGAAGTCAGAAGGCATTGAATGCCCTGGAACTAGAGTTACAGACAGTTGTTAGCTGCTATGTGGATGCTGGGAATTGAACCCGGGTCCTCTCCAAGAGCAGTTAGTGCTCTTAACCACTGAGCCATCTCCAGCCCTGATTTTCTCATGTTTTTGAAGACTTACCCTATCTCAAGTGCTTTGTTTGGGTAGTCTTGTATCTTTTCCTTACCTTTTAAATGCTGTTGACCTCACAAATAAGGAAACAGGGAAGGTAAGTACTTAGTCCAAGGTAACATAGCTAGGTGACAATTTAAACCTTATCTCCTAGTTCATCTGTAGAGAACATTGTATACTTCAAAGCCTACTTTTTGAAAAAGCATTATTTTATTATTATTGTTTGTGGAGGGGTGGGTCTGTGGAAGTCAGAGGGCAACCTTGTGAAGTGAGTTCTGTCCACTTTAACATTATTCTGAGGATCAAACACAGGTCATCGGGCTTATGTCACTTTTGCCCACCAAGCCATCTCACTGACCTGAAACCTTCTTGTAAAAGATTTAAAACAAAGAAGAAACAGTTTTGTGGTCATAAGATAAGATGCTTCTTATTTTGTCTTTTTTTTTTTTAAGGTGCTTCTTTAAAAAAACAATTTATAGCCAGGTATGCTGGTACAGGCCTTTAATCCCAGCCCTTGGAGGCAGAGGCCAGCCTGGTCTACATAGCAAGTTCCAGGCCAACCAGGGCTACATGATAAGAGCCTATCTCAAAAACAAAAAACCAAAAAAAAAAAAAAAAAACCCTTATACTCCCTTTTAAAATAACTTTTTATATTTACAGTCATCAGATTTGGGAGGTATTTAATCTGTTATATTTTTAGGAATCTGGGGTATAGGTGTTGCGACTCAGAAGGTAAACTTGAACCAGATTCCTCTTGGCCGAGACATGCATAGTCTGGTGATGAGAAATGATGGAGCTCTGTACCACAACAACGAAGAGAAAAACAGGCTGCCAGCAAACAGCCTTCCTCAGGAGGGAGATGTGGTGGTGAGTCTTCTGGTGGAGTTGCTGTTGGTCCACTGTGAATTATTAAAGTTGAGCTGCTTTGAGTAGGCCTGCTTGACATGGGAGTTTGTGCTTTGTATTCTAAAGCCCTGGGATTGGATCCAGTGAGGTGATGCAGTTTCCAGAGAGAGCACCTGGCAGATATGCTGCCTCATCTTACTATCCCTTCTGGAATTGATGACCACCCACCTGGGACATTAGGGTGACTGACCCTGTATTTCCATGCAGGAGAATTAATGATATGTTGGCTGCTAAACAGTATCCTACTGTCACATCAGGGAAACCTTACTACACAATTTATATATTTTTTTGATCATACTAGAAAATATTAGAATTTTTTAAGGCTATTGACCTCTTAGAGGAAATCTTCACATTAATTTGTTAGGAACATGTTAGAGAATCACAGCATTTTATCAGAAGCTGATCTTTGTTAATCTTACTAAATTATCTCCACTTTCAGAGCTCTTCAAAGAACTGCACTCAAAAATCCTGAGGCATAATTACAGAAAAAGTGTTGGGTGTTTTGTTTTGTTTTGTTTTGTTGCTTGGGGCTATTGTTTTCGAAAGTAAGAATATCATGTTATTGAGACTCCCTATTTTTATTCCTAATGTGATGTATTTAACTACATTTCAAAGCACGCATTGAAATGTAACTCAAAGACCCCTTTCTGTCTTTTCTGGACATTTCCCCTCATCCAATAATATCCACAAACCCTGTGTAGAATCAAGACTACTAGCTATTGAGAATAGTCCTAGAGACTCGGCTAAGCTGACTTGTGCACAGAGTCTTGGATTCCTGGCTCTGATATCAAGGTGAAAGGAATCTGGGAAGAATGAGAGAAGGTTTCTAATAAGGTAACCCTGGCCAGACATGGTAATTTAGAAAGATTGAAGAAAAGTATGACTTTTTTTTTTTTTT